CTGGAAAATTCTATTCGTTAAGCTCCTATGACATAATCACACACACACAGAGGCCATATGGAAGCTAGAATCAGACTTCACAACCCAGTATCCCCAACTCTTCGATTGAATAAGAGGGAGACAAATTTGAGAGACCAAATTTCTTTTAAGGTGGGAAAATTGTAATATTCGGGCCCTGAATTTGGTCCGGAATTAATTTTAAAATTTTAAAAAATGTATAAAAATATAATTTTGAAATTAATAAATTTTTATTTAATGTAAAATTAGGAAAAAATATAGGTTGAGGATGAAATTGAAAATAATTTTGTGAAAAAGGTAAAATTTTGGGTCTGAATGGTATTTTTGAAAGAAAAATAAAAAATTATGGGTCAAAGCATAATTAAAAAAATTGTACTATGTAGGACTGCACAATCAGCAGCCCCGATGAATAGGAGCGCACTGTGTGACAAGACACGTTGACTCGATGCCATGTGGGAGGCCTCGCTAGCAATCCGCGTACCCGCGATCGGACGGTCCGGAAGCGTTCCCACGCGCGTGGACGGTCTGAATCTATTCCCTCCTCAGGCGCGATCGAACGGTTACGATTAAATAAGATGAATGGTCCATATTCATTCCATCTTTAAATGCAATCAAATAGTCGAAATCAAATCGTGACGAACAACACAAATTTATTTCATCTTTAAACGTGATCGGACGGTCGAGATCAAACGCGATGAACTGTTCATATTTAAGTAAGACAAGTATAAATATCTCGTATCACACCGAATCCAAACCCTAGCCACCAGCCTTTTGCCGGAGAAGGAGAAACAGTTGCCAGAGAATAGAGCCGACCGTCGTCCTCCGCTGCGTCAGAGTCACATCTGACCGCTAAAAAAAGTAAAAATCTCCTATCCGTTTAGAATTTGATTTCAAGTACCCCCATGGCCGAATTGGAGGAAAAAGAACGGTAGATGAGCCGAAAACTGCGGACAAAGTCTCGCGGTGCTGCTGCAGATAAAACTCAAAACCGCCTCCAATGAACCCCTTCCCATTTCCTTTTTCGTGCGATTTTTCCACCATTATTTTCACTGTCTATTTTTTATAGATTAACCGAAAAAAAACGCTCAACCACGATGTTGAGCTGACGGAGCCGCTGCACCGAAAAATTTCGCCGCCGGTAGGTTTTTATTTTTTGACTTTTTTCAGCCAACCAATGCACCCTAACGTGTTTTCTCGCAGGGATTAGTATAAAACCAGCCGAAATCGGTCAAAACTGGCCGAAAATGGCTAGGCCGAGGCAAACCACTGCTGTGGCTGGCGGTACCGTTGTTGAAGCATGGCGGTGTCGCCGTGCCAAAATTCCAAAATTGGTCAGAAAAGATTTTTAACACTGATTTTGAGTTTTTTTATGATATTTTTAGGTACATAAGCGTATTTTAATCTCCGCATAAAAAATTCAAGAAATCTGGAATCACCAGTAGGTGGAGTAGAAAGTTTAATATTTCAGATATCGATTCGGGTAAGAATCGCTCATCTTATTCTCTGTTATGGAATTGAAACTTAATAATCGATAATATGATATTTTGTTTAATTTAGAAAATCTTGAGAATAATTATAAGTTACCAATGGAGCCAAAACTGGTTAATCATTTATTTGTTGTCATGTGTAACTGATTATTGCATTTACATCTTTAAATACATAATGACGTACTAGTATGGTTAATTAATTCAATTGTACTTCCTTAATATATATATGATTTACGGTTGATTTGTGAAATTAGTAATTAATATGTAAACAAAAAATTGATTGGTCATATAATTTAATGAATGGTAACCTCACTGGATATTGCGGGAGATGGTGGATTGACCGGGTATATAAGGAACTATACTGGGAATGTTGCCTCATATTGGATGGGGTATGAAGACGGTCTGGTTCACACTCATACCGGACGGAGTATTGAGGGATAGTATTTTTGGCACTCATACCAAACGGAGTATGGGGACGGTCGGTTAATTGATAATGTTAAATGTTGGTTCACGTGTAGTAGGACTTCCTTATGGGCCCCCAAAGATACCAATAGGCAAATAAAAAGAGAAAGTGGTTGTTATTGCTCAATTAAAAATGAGATTTGAATATCATTTGAATTATTGTATCTCTATAGGTCGATTTTGAAAATATCGCAACAGTAAATATATGCAATAAATTATTTTTCCTTATGAAATGAATTTACTTAAATTAATAGCTCTATTTGTTATTTTTATGATTTTTACCAACCTTCAGTTTCTGTATTGATGAGTAGTGTGATATTCTTATTGGGCTAGTGTAGCTCACTATTTCATTAACTATTTCATATCAAGAGCACCAAAACTCATATCCTGATCAATAAGAGGGTTGTGAATGGTTCACCACCCGGACTCTCTTTAAAAGTTAATGAAGATCGTCATAAAATTCTCAATTATTAGTGTTTTATTTATTTTCTTGATTTTCGTAATTTCTTTTAGAATTGTCATTCCCGTAACCCTATTGAGCATTTTAAATTATTATATAATAAATGTACACTATAAACTCTATTGTTTCGCTTCCGCATTTAATTCATGATTTTATTTTCTTTTAAGTTCCGGATCGTAACACACATAAACTAATTTAAAATATTGATATTTTTATTTTATACTAACTGATTGCACGCTTATTTGTTAAATAAAGAATCATAAAATGTCTAACTTAAATTATAAAATTGAAGTATTGTAGAATTAAATAACACTTTTATTATATAAAATTAAAATTTGGACAAAATTCAACACTAAAATTTGCTATCTTATTTGGTAAAAGCTATTTTGATATATAAAAAAACTATGAAAAAACATTAATTAAATCAATTCTAATTACTAAGTTTTAAGTCTAATGAAAACTTAAAACTAAAACAATAAATTAAAAGTTGATAATTTTCTCTATTTAAATGGGTGACTCATGACTGGAATAATTAATATTCCTTACTTTTAAATTTCCGAAAACGGACTAATAACGTTAACGGCTGCATGTCACGGGTGAAAGCCTCTGCTACAGACAAAAAACCATTTAATGCATTACCTCTAAATTTTAAAGGATTAATTAAACACATTTTTTTTTTTTATAAACAGAATAAGTAAGTTACTAAGTTGTATTAGCTGTGAATTAAAAGATTTAGTTCTCACAAAGTATATATTTCATAATAGTTGATTTGGACAAAACTTAATTAATTATTACCATTCAATTAATAAATTAAATTATAAATATACTGAATTAAATATTATAAATCGGATCAATAATTTATAATATATTTATAAAATAATAAAATTTATATTTTAATTTATTTTAAACATGAACAAAAAAAATAAATAAATAATTCAAATTTACCAACTAAGTAATTATAACTTTATTGTAGCTATAGTTGCCACCATGTAATTATCGTGGCTTATTTTGTTATTGTTAATATTAATAGAAAAAGTTAACCTTATATAAAAAGAGAATAATAAAATAGTACGAAATAATTGTTATCAAAGAAAAATACATTAAATTTCCACGTGAACCATGAAAAAAACTTGTTACACTTTATTTTTTTTGTTGATATTTTATTTGAGAGGGAGGAAGTATCGTAATTGCTGAATGATAAAAATTTTATGAGCCCAGAAGTGATGGGAGAAATTAAAAAAAAAATCCAGTATAAATAATATATTTTTGTAAATTGTGAACCCATATGTGATAAATAAATAAAAATAATATATTTTAAGGTAAAATAATATATTTTATTAATTAATTATAATATATACATTTTTAATAAAAAATATATAATTTTATTTAAACATATAAAAAAATATCATCCATCCTCTAAAATAAGTATCAATAGAGAAGAAGTTGGATATGGATAAATATATTATTTGAATGATTAAATCCGTGACAATGTCATGAGAAACCCATTTGTCCAAACAGCGATACATATATGTATATATAAACACACAAACAAACACACACACACATAAATGTGTATATCAAGAATTCAACAAGTAATTTTTTTCACTGTTCTTCTCACTACTTTTAAATACTAGTTTATAGTTATTTTTGTGTTTGTATTATTATCTGTTTAGTATAAAAAAAAATTATTATGAGAATTCAACTGACGTTTTAAAAAAAAAAAATTAGATTTGATTTTAATCATTAAAAAATTTAAAGTAAAATGCTAATAATCTTGTAGTTTTTGTCTTTAATATATTTTAAAATAGTTAAATTTTAAATAAAAATATAATTTATTTCTCTTACTACCTTTAGTTTTTTTTTTTTTTGAAAACTAAAATAAGGTTTCATTCTTTTACGTAGAGATTATACGAGTGTTTAACATTAATATATTTGTACATAACAAGAAAACTATTCAACAATTATAAAATTATAAATTTATCAATGACTTAGATTATTATCATTTAGAAGCCTTATACTATTGTTGGTTAGATCATTTGCAGGAGCCTTTCCTATTAACGTGCATTGCAGTCCTTGATTGCTACACATGCTCATGACTAGTGTTGAAAGAGTAGATTCCATTGTTGTGGGTATATTTAACATTGTATTTGTTTTATCTTGCCTTAAAAATTAAAAGGTAGTAGTTGCTCAAAAGAAAAATAGTGATTTTGACTTTTTAATATAAAGAAGAATTTCATGAACCTGTCAAATTTTACCCTTATTTTTTATCTAAAATTTTTAAATTGATCTTTTTTACTCTCAATAAATTGCCGGTTTACTAATTAATGGAGATCTCACAATCTTATTGCCTTTTAACAATTCCATTTCCAAATATTAATTTGATATAGTTAAGAGTAAATCAATACTGTTTTTGAAATTTTTATGAATCTTTATAATGTAATTTTTTTTAATTATATTTAAAATAATCGTATGTGTTAAGAGATATATGTAAATTAATTATATTATTTAATTTTTTTTTAAAAATCATTTATTAAAACCACCTAAATACTAACAGTCGCCACCCGCCCAAATCCTTCCCCCCGCTAATTTCGCCTTCTTTACTTTCTTTACTTTTCTTCTGCTACTCGCTCTCTCACTCTCTTACTTACTTTTACTCATTTCTTGTCCGGTGTCCAAACCATTACCCAACAACCACAAAAAACGCCATGTCTCCTCTCTCTCTCTCCTTCTTCTTCTCTCTCCTTCTCTTCTTTCCTCTCTTCTCTTTCTCCTTCCCCTTCAGTAAGCAGCACCTTCTGCTCTTTCTAATCAATCAACAGTCACTAACTCACTGCATTTCCATTTTTCTTTTCGTTTTTCATTTTCTCATTCTCATCTCATTTTCAATTTCTAAATAATGCAGACACCTCTCTCTACATAGACTGCGGCGGCTTGGTCCCCTCCACCGATCCTTTCAACATTACCTGGCTTCCTGACCGCTACTTCACCGGCGGAGCCACTGCGGTTGTTTCCGAGCCGTTACGCTTCTCTCATGTTCCCGAGAAGACGCTCCGTTACTTCCCTCTCTCTTCCGGCAAGAAGAACTGCTACGTTGTCCCTCTTCCTGATGGCCGTTACTACATCCGTACTTTTACCGTCTACGATAACTACGATGGCAGGTCACATACTCCCTCCTTCGACGCCTCCGTTGAAGGTACCTCCGTCTTCTCCTGGCGCTCTCCTTGGGGCGAAGACCTCGCTCGCGATGGCTCCTATTCCGATCTCTTTGCCTTCGTTGATGATGGCGAGCTCGACCTCTGCTTCTATAGCATCGCTACTGATGCTCCTGTAGTTGGCTCCATCCAGATCACGCAAGTCGACCCGCTCTCTTACGCCGCTGCGGAGACTGGCCGCGATGTCATTTTAGTCAACTACGGGAGGCTCTCCTCCGAGTCAGCCCACTGGGGCCCCGGCTTTAGCAACGATACCGACGATTTTGGGCGGACCTGGTTGTCCGACGCTGACTTCCGGTCCAAGGGTGTGGCGTCGACGGTCCGATCGCTTTCGACAGTGGAGGTCATCAAGGGCGCGAATCAGCCGCCGAATTACTTCCCGATGAAGCTTTATCAGAAGGCTGTTACGGCGACTGGAGAATTGCAGTACGAGCTAGAGGTGGATGCTAAGCTTGATTACTTGCTATGGTTCCACTTCGCAGAGATTGATTCTAGCGTGAAAAAGGAAGGGGTTAGGGTGTTTCAGTTGGTAGTGAATGAGGAGATTGTGAGTAGAGTGGACATATACAAGGAGGTCGGAAGCTTCGCGGCTTACAGCTTGAATTATACGGTGAAGAATCTCAGCAGTATTGCTTTGACCGTAAAGCTGGTGCCGGTCACCGGTGCGCCCTTGATCAGTGGGCTGGAGAATTACGCTATTGTCCCTGCCGATTTGTCGACTGTGCCTGAACAAGGTATGTTGTGTTGTCAATAGGAAGCCATAGAGATTTAACATTTTCCGCATTTGTTTGTTTTTTCTACCTTTTAATAAATATCTTGGTAGCTTGTTTAGTGATATTCATCTTAAGAAAAAAAACAAAACAGTAAACCTGAAAATGATGTATCTATGTAATTGGAGCAAAACTATAAATTAATCGACATCTTAGTCATGTGAATTTTTCAAATTCAAGATGAGAGGCTTCAAATAGACTAATTACGATGGGCTAGTCACTCTTAATGATTTGAAGGAAAGAGAAACTAAGGCCCTGTCTGGCGCATAAGAATTTTTGTAGTTTTTATTTTCTGAAGTTATATGTATTTCATTTCAAACACCCCCCCGCAAATAGTTTAAAAAATGTTTAAATATTGTTTTTTATGTTTTTACAGAAAACTATTTGTTTGTGTTTACATTATTCCGCAAATACGCCGCTCTTATATATTTTCAAGAACAAACCCATGTATAAACACGGATAAACTTAGGAAATGAAAACTAAAAAAATATTTTCATGAACCAAATAGAGCCTAGAAATATGGGAAATGATAGTAATTCTTATAAAAGAGAAAGGAAAAAGAAAACGGGTACTTTGCGAGTGATGTTGCTTTCAGTTCAAATATGATGAATGGTGATATGAATTTATTGTAGTGAACGCCATGAGGGCATTGAAAGATTCACTTCGCGTTCCTGATAGAATGGGCTGGAACGGTGACCCATGTGCTCCTACCAGCTGGGATGCTTGGGAAGGGGTTACATGCAAACCAAACAAGGAAGGAACTGCACTTATAATATTTCAAATGTAAGTGTTGCTTTTGTTCTTGAATACATAGATGACATTACAAAATTTAGATAGAGCTCTTAGCTGATGTACTAGAACAGAAAATAAAAATCCAGTCTATGGTACAATTCTTAGTGTTTTTAGAATCATAGATCTTATATTTGTTTATCCTCTATCACATTCATCATTGTTTTCCCGGGAGCTACCTTTCTAATCAAGGTCATTGTGTATTCAATTTACACAAAGTTGTTGAAGCATCAATATAGTTCATAATTTTTTTAGAAGAATGTAGTGCACAATATTGCATTGTTCATTTTTACATTTTTCGCTTTGTGGTCATATGATCCCTTATCATTAGATGTCAGGAAGAACATGTCAGTATCATTTTAGTTTTTTCTTTAATTAGTGAACAGTGAGTGTGTTTCTGGAGAAGATTTGTTACTTTTATGACTTACTCTATTGCAGAGATCTTGGGAGTCAAGGCCTGAAAGGGTTTATTAGCGACCAGATTGGCCTTCTCACAAATTTGGTTAGCCTGTAAGTATCAGTTGCCAACATAATGTATGCTGCATGTGCAACATTTCAATGGAGAGTAATTTCATGTTTGCTATAATTGCTATCCTATCTTTCTCTTACTGCTGCCATCTTTCTCATGGGTTTCCATGTTGTTTGCTGCTTCTTCTTACTCCATGCCTTTTAACCAAAATCATATTACTTTTTCTTTGCACCATTTGATGTTCCATTTTTAATATTACCAGATAATAGTATTCTGATGTTAGCACTTTTGTGAACAAAATTATTATATACTTTATCACCTCTCACAAGGTGATCTTTTATCAACATCTATCTAATGCAAATGAGAATTGCTAAATAATTTACTTTTATTTGATTGCTGATGGTTTTTTTTCCTCAGTAGTTTGTACAACAAACAACATTTACTATAAATTTAATTCGTGCGTCACCTCTGTTTTAGTATACCAACTACATTTATCTTCTGCTTCTTCTGTCTTGTGCATTTGACCAGAACATATTACTCTTTCTTGATGTTACCTGTGGTCTATGTATTTATATTACAAGCCAATCGCACTCTCGACCTTTCCATCAAAATTCAGAATACACTTCATTACTTCTCACAAAACAATGTTTTATCAGCATCCCATCTAATGCGAAGTGAGAATGACTTGATGACCAACTTGAATTCCATGGCTGAGATGTTTCCAATGTATCATTTGTTTGTCATCTTGCTAGTCATACATTATTGTGCTTGTTCCTTGTTGATTCTCCTTTAATATTTTGACACTAATGCAGTGTAGTTTATAGAAAATACAAACTATGGGAATTTTAATTTGCGCATGCCTGCTTTTAGGAATGAATTAAAATATCTCTTGTTTGATATAATCATGAAATATAAGCCTTACATTTAACGAGTAGTTGGCTTCCTTCCATCTTTCTTGTCATTCATCATCTACTTATTCCTTTTTTGGTATTTGTAGAATTTTTTATCTGTTTTCTCGTTGTATTTTTAGCAAATATTTAGAATCATAGTTGCTGCGGGCTCACAAGTAGATTTTTAATCAATAAGAAATCCCTTTTTCCCTGTACAGGAACTTAAGTTCAAACTCTTTGACTGGTACTCTACCATCAGGGCTTGGCCAGAAATCTCTTGTCCGGCTGTAAGATGTGAACCAACCTTTTTACCTTGTTAATTAAATATTATGCTGATTTTCATTGCATGTGACACATTCTGTTCCAAATAAATATGTGATTCCTTGTTAAATGAGATGGAATAACCATCAG